TATCTTAAAAACGGCTAACTATAACGAGAACTCACAGGAGAGCTTTTTTATGTTGAAAAGTCCGAAGAATCAGTTTTTTTATTCAAAAAGCAAAAAATTGCACTAAGAAAAAATGTTCGGTCATTTTAATACACTACAGGTACAGTAGAGAGCGCCCTCTAGCGGCTACAGTAAAACTATGCCCATGGTTCGTTTTGTCGTACCAAAAAACCTTGTATACCAATTTTCACTGTTATACATCAAATGTTGTTCGAAATACTAAAAAAAAACTATTTTAGAAAGTAAATTTAAACACCCTGTATTTCTGAAGCCACGCATTTTCCGACCCATATTTATATAGACTTTATACATTAATTTTAAAAGTTCTATCGATTCTTAAAGTTATGCAACAATAAACTGAAACACCCTGTATACTCATAGTGAATATACATTTAAACAAAAAATATGCCGTTTGTTATTAGCGTTACTTGCACTATAACACCCTAAAATTATAAGGTGCGTATACAAACAATCTGGTTCATTTATTTAGACAAAAGTCAATTTATGGATTATTCTGGTAACATTATTTCTCAACTGCGTACATAAACAAATGCGTTGCTGCTAGTCAGTTGCTTCTCGAACGATTCAAAGAATTTTAAGGATTAGAAAAGTCGTTTAAAATGCCACATTGTTCAAATTATCTACATGCATTGTGTTATAAAAATATAGCGAGTTCATTCGTCAACCTGGTATGATATTAAGAAACTCCTAACACTGCTCAAAAAGAGCTATTTTACAGTTTTGTTTCTGACAATATACAGGGTCTTCCTTACTGATATGTGAATATTTGAAGGTGTGAGTCCTACATGAAAAATTTATGTTAGTTTGCTTTATAAATTATGGTTCACAAATGTTTCTTTACTAAAACTCGGGGTGTTGAAGTTTTACGAAAAAAATGAAATTAATTAATATTTTCAGAACCGCTTCACATATTTCACTGATATTTAGTAGGTAGTGAAAGTTAATAAAGTTGCATATTTTTCAATGCATATATAATTTTTAGCTTTAACAGTGGCGTGCGTACGGGTATTGACTTCGATATTTTTTAAGAAAAAAGTGGTACGCTAATGGTTTTTTTAATAAAAAAATAAAAACCGCTCTATTGTCCAAGAAAATTAATGTAATAATTAAAGAATGCAATTTAGCAATAAATATCTAGTTGCTCTGGAATATGTCACTGGCTTTTGACATCTGACAAATCTCTGTTATTCAAATTTGTTCGCTGTGACATCTTTTTCATTATTTAGTTTTTACAATCTTGTTAATAATGGTGAATTATTCAAATGCAGAAATGGCGGAAACGCATTACGTATATGGCCTTGCCGACGGTAATGGTGAGCAAGCCAGACGGATTTATCACCAGAGATATCCCGATCGTGCTTTGCCAGATAGTCGAACCTTTTCTAATATTCATCGTCGTCTTGTTGAAACTGGTTCTGTCCGAAGAGGAACATCGGAAGGTAGACCTCTTACTGTGAGAACACCTGAAATTGACGAAGCAGTGCTGCACGAAGTCGAAGAACATCCTGAAACGAGTACGAGGAAAATCGCTAGACACTTAAATATTTGCCATCAAATTGTTTGGACAATTTTTGTGGATTTTTTATTATATCCTTACCATATTTTAAGAGTACAGGCATTACTTCTCATTGATTTTCCAAGGCGTGTGACCTTTTATCAGTGGTATATTCAAAACACTACACAAAATCCGCAATTTGAATAAATTATTCTGTTCACGGACGAACGTAATTTTTCTCGAAATGCCATTCAGAATTTCCACAATAATCTTTTGTAGGCAGAAGAAAATCCCTATGCCGTAACCAAGACTCATTTCCAACACCAATTTTCGGTAGGAATTATAGGCAACCACTTTATTGGCCCATTCGTCTTGCCGGGAGGCTTGACGGACAGACTTACCTCAATCTTCTTCAACAACAGTGACCTTTGCTGCGTGATGATGTTCCGTTAGTAATAAGAAACAATATGTGCAAGATGGTGCACCAGCGCATTTCAGTGCAGCGATTCGTAATTATTTACAAACTGTTTATCCAAGTCGTTGGATTGGCCGCGGTGGGCCCCAAGATGGCCACCAAGGTGCCCAGACCTCAACAGTTTAGATTTCTTCTTGTGGGACTTGTGAGGCTATCTTAAGACTTATAGTTGCAGCTTGTGATATTTCAACGAGTGCGCAACTCCGTGAGAAGGAGGGCGGAAGCATGCATACTAACAATTTTTGTAATCATTTCCTTTTTTCTTAATATTATGTTTATGTTATCATTTGTTGTTGTTCATTACCCCTAATGTGTTTAATTTTTACACTTAAATTAATAATAATTTTGCAAGTTAGAGAATAGAATGGTTTTCATTTCTTTACTCAAAAATGGCGCATCGAACGAAAACAATTCAAGAGAGATAATTTGTTTTAAATTGAACGAGGAATTCAAAAATAATTTGGCAAAAAACTATTAGCGCACAATTTTTTCTTGAAAAATATCGAAGTCAATACCCATACGCACGCCACTCTTAAAGCTAAAAATTATTTTTGTATTGAAAAATATGCAACTTTATTTACTTTCACTACGTACTAAATATCAGTGAAATATCTGAAGCGGTTCTGAAAATATTAATTAATTTCCATTTTTTCCTAAAACTTCAACACCCCGAGTTTTTGTAAGGAAACATTTTTTGGACCATAGTTTATAAAGCAAACTAACATTATTTTTTAAAAAGAAAACCTTGAAAAAAAAATTGTATTAATAATGTGATTTTAATAATAAATATCTAAGAAACATAAGATACAAATAAAGCAGTGTTTTGTTTGTCGAATAAGGATTAGGTTTTGAGACCCATACATGGTTTCACTATTAACTTTCGAATTCAAAGTTTGAGCGTTCCCTATCGCAATAATATCTAGTTTTTGAGTTGTTAGAGTGAAATTAGAGTATCTGTGTATCTAGGCTATATGTATAACTTATAATTCCAAGGACTAAGGTTTATATTCAAGCATCGCTTTAACCGCAAGTTTAGTGTGGAGTATCCGACGAGGGTAGAGTGGAATTGCGGAAGCCGGAATGTCTCCGAAGGAACTGGCCAATCCTGGTACACGAACGACTTGGTTACTAAACAGGGCTCTGGGGTCGAGGATTTTGGGTCCAGCACAACTAAGATCTCACTGCCTTTCGGTAGATACACTACCACTATTTTCCAGGCGGAAACCTATGCAATTCTAACTTGCGTATCTGCACTCTGTAGGAGGAAGGGCCTTGAAGATTAAGAATTCTCTCCGACAGCCAGGCTGCGATAAAGTGCCTGGAAGATTACTTCGAGCATTGTATCACAATGCAGGGAGGCTCTGGATTGTTTAGCATCGAAGCATCCGGTATCGTTAGTGTGGGTACCGAGACAATTTTCAACCCCTACAGAAAGTTTTCTGAAAATGATCAGGATCATCTGAAACGTCAAAAAACGAAGTTTGAGCAATTTTTATTTTTTCATGTTTCTACCTCTAGCTCCGCCGCCACTGGACCGATTTTCAATAACTACAAAGCACTTGCGTCCTAGGAATGGTAGTAATATTGTTAAAAAATTTTATCGAAATCCTAGAGGTACTTCTATATGTCATAAATCATGCAAAAAAAAGAAATCGTAATTTTCAAAATTGTTCGCGATTACAATACAATAGTCGTGGAAGTAAAAATTGACTGCGTAAGAACTACTCGTTTTAGTTGGTTATTATGGTTGCTTTATTAGCTTTCTCATTTATCTAGGATACGAGGGATGTCTTTTAAGTTTTGCATATGGAAATAAAACAACACGGTAGCTAGTTTTAAATGACTTTATTGTTTTTCGAAGTATTCACGAAGATCAATACACATCTGCATGCGCTCGAACCAATTTTCGAAGCACTTATTCCACTCGTTTGCTGGAAGATCCAAAACGGCATTTTTGAATGCGTCAACTGCTTCTTCTGGTGACTGAAACCTATGACCACGCAATCTGTTTTTAATTTTCGGGAAAGTAAAGGAATCGTGAGGACTTAGATCGGGACTGTATGGAGAATGGTCCAATAATTCCACATTAAATACTGCCTTGTTTCTTGGGCTCCGTGCGAGCTTGCATTGTCTTGGTGGAGGATGATTCTTCTTTCGGGTTTGATGTTTCGAAGCTCGGTGATGACTTTTGGCAAACAAAATGGTGGTTTACCAATCCGCAGTAACAGTTATTTGCTCATTAAGAGGAATTGTTGCAATATGACCCGCTTTTGATACAAACGTCGCGGCCATCTTTTTCGAAACACTTAGAGAACGGATGACTTTTGCTGGCTTTTCTTCACCTTGGAACACCCAAACAGCCGACTGTCGTTTATTTTCTGGTTCATAACAGTAAATCCACGATTCATCACCACCGTCAAGCGGTTTTTGACACCAATTAACCCTGGCTGTTTTCTGCTCTTCAGTCAACAGGTGGGGTATCCAACGACAAACTAATTTTCTTGCTCATAATTCTTCATGTAAAATTTTTTGAATTGAGGTCTTTGAGATCTTCAAGGACGCCTCAATCTCACGATATGTCACACGTCTATCTTACTTGCTACTCTGCTACTCAACAACACATCTTCTCAGAATATACTCTACAGACTATCTCGGTATTCTGCAACACTCAAAGCATGATGGGGAACTGACTTGCAGCTTGCAGCATGGTCATTATCGTAAATATCCATAAAATGCAGTAAATGGACTGTACGTAAGTACAGCAGTAGTGATTGTTACGATGTCAAAATTTCGTTCATTTAATACAGTGTCAATTATGTGAGAAACACCCATTAATCGTGGCGTCCTTCCTGGGCTTATAACTTCGAAACGAAGCGGTATTACGAAAATCGTAAGCAAAGAAACTAGTCTCAATACAGATAAAATATGTAACCCATAATCTGATAACACCGTGTATTGTGATTCACTTACCTCATCCTGTGTTGCAAGCTCATGGAAACAGCAGTCATACGCAAACCGCCTGACTCTTTCCCGGCTATCACCTGCGCCACTTTCAGCTACCTGAAACAATTTATCAAAGAATTTGTATAATGCTCTAAAATACATGTTGTTGATTGTAACTATGTGATAACTTTATGAAGCTATTAAATAGTGATTGAATATTGAAAGTTCGCACAGGATTTGAAAAATGCAGACATTTGCATAGCAGTGGTGTTTGTACTTAAAACAAGATACTCTAGGAATTTAAACAAATCGAAACTCTCGAACGAAAAGGGATAAAGAAAAAAATAAAGACGCTATCTTTGAGTTCGACATATGGGCTTTCTCACGCAAAAATCGTCAGGTTCGTAGCTCCTTTATCTTCGGAGGACAGCGATGTTGAACGTCGAACTGCACGGAAATCTACCGTTTTTTTTCGACTTTACCGGCCGTTTTCGATCGCGTTTCTTCCTCTGACCGCGCCGGCTCTCAGTCCCCCGTAAAGCCCCGAGTTCTAATTTCCGAAACGGTATCGCTTTGCGTCGCAACGTTTCGCGAGCCCGGAAGAAAGCCGGAAAAATTGGAAAGTAGCGCGTAATCGAGGAATTTAAAAAAATCGAAACTTTCGAACGAAAAGGGATAGAGAAAAAAAAGACGCTATCTTTGAGTTCGATGTCTGGGCTTTCTCACGCAAGAATCGCCAGGTTTGTAGCTCCTTTATCTTCGGAGGACATCGATGTTGAACGTCGAACAACACGGAAATCTACCGTTTTTTTTTCGACTTTACCGGCCGTTTTCGATCGAGTTTCTAGTTTCCGAAACGGTATCGCTTTGCGTCGTAACGTTTCGCGAACCCGGAAAAATCGGAAAGTAGCGCGTAATCGAGGAATTTAAAGAAATCCAAACTTTCGAACGAAAAGGGGTAGAGAAAAAAAGAAAGACGCTATCTTTGAGTTCGATGTCCGGGCTTTCTCATGCAAAAATCTTCAGGTTCGTAGCTCCTTTATCTTCGGAGGAGATCGATGTTGAACGTCGAACAACACGGAAATCTACCGTTTTTTTTTTAGACTTTACCGGCCGTTTTCGATCGCGTTTCTTCCTCTCACCGCGCCGGCTCTCGCTCCCTCGTAAAGCCCCGAGTTTCTAGTTTCTGAAACAGTATCACTTTGCGTCGCATCGTTTCGCGAACCCGGAAAAAACCGGAAAAATCGGAAAGTAGCGCGTAATCGAGGAATTTAAAAAAATCGAAAATTTCGAACGAAAAGGGATAGAGAAAAAAAAAGACACTGTCTTTGAGTACGATGTCTGGGCTTTCTCATGCAAAAATCGCCAGGTTCGTAGCTCCGTTATCTTCGGAGGACATCGATGTTGAACGTCGAACAGCACGGAAATCTACCGTTTTTTTTTTCGACTTTACCGGCCGTTTTCGATCGCGTTTCTTCCTCTCACCGCGCCGGCTCTCGCTCCCCCGTAAAGCCCCGAGTTTCTAGTTTCTGAAACGGTATCGCTTTGCGTCGCATCGTTTCGCGAACCCGGAAAAAACCGGAAAAATCGGAGAGTAGAGAAAAAAAAGAAAGACGCTATCTTTGAGTTCGATGTCCGGGCTTTCTCATGCAAAAATCGTCAGGTTCGTAGCTCCTTTATCTTCGGAGGAGATCGATGTTGAACGTCGAACAACACGGAAATCTACCGTTTTTTTTCGACTTTACCGGCCGTTTTCGATCGCGTTTCTTCCTCTGACCGCGCCTGCTCTTGCTGCCCTGTAAAGCTTCGAGTTTCTAGTTTCCGAAACGGTATCGCTTTGCGTCGCAACGTTTCGCGAACCCGGAAAAAACCGGAAAAATCGGAAAGTAGCGCGTAATCGAGGAATTGAAAAAAATCGAAACTTGCGAACGAAAAGGGATAGAGAAAAAAAAAGAAAGACGCTATCACTTAGTTCGATGTCTGGGCTTTCTCACGCAAAAATCGCCAGGTTTGTAGCTCCTTTATCTTCGGAGGACATCGATGTTGAACGTCGAACAGCACGGAAATCTACCGTTTTTTAGACTTTACCGGCCGTTTTCGATCGCGTTTCTCCCTCTCACCGCGCCGGCTCTCACTCCCCCGTAAAGCTCCGAGTTTATAGTTTCCGAAACGGTATCGCTTTGCGTCGCAACGTTTCGCGAACCCGGAAAAAACCGGAAAAATCGGAAAGTAGCGCGTAATCGAGGAATTGAAAAAAATCGAAACTTTCGAACGAAAAGGGATAGAGAAAAAAAAATAAAGACGCTATCTTTTAGTTCGATGTCTGGGCTTTCTCACGCAAAAATCGCCAGGTTTGTAGCTCCTTTATCTTCGGAGGACATCGATGTTGAACGTCGAACAGCACGGAAATCTACCGTTTTTTTCGACTTTACCGGCCGTTTTCGATCGCGTTTCTTCCTCTGACCGCGCCGGCTCTCACTCCCCCGTAAAGCCCCGAGTTTATAGTTTCCGAAACAGATCGCTTTGCGTCGCAACGTTTCGCTAACCCGGAAAAAAACCGGAAAAATCGGAAAGTAGCGCGTAATCGAGGAATTTAAAAAAATCGCAACTTTCGAACGAAAAGGAATAGAGAAAAAAAAGAAAGACGCTATCTTTGAGTTCGATGTCTGGGCTTTCTCACGCAAAAATTGGCAGGTTTGTAGCTCCTTTATCTTCGGAGGACATCGATGTTGAACGTCGAACAGCACGGAAATCTACCGTTTTTTCCACTTTACCGGCCGTTTTCGATCGCGTTTCTTCCTCTCACCGCTCCGGCTCTCGCTCCCCTGTAAATCCCCGAGTTTATAGTTTCCGAAACGGTATCGCTTTGCGTCGCAACGTTTCGCGAACCCGGAAAAAAACCGGAAAAATCGAAAAGTAGCGCGTAATCGAGGAACTTAAAAGAATCGAAACTATCGAACGAAAAGGGATAGAGAAAAAAAATAAAGACGCTATCTTTGAGTTCGACGTCCGGGCTTTTTCACGCAAAAATTTCCAGGTTCGTAGCTCCTTTATTTTCGGAGGACATCGATGTTGAACGTCGAACAGCACGGAAATCTACCGTTTTTTTTCGACTTTACCGGCCGTTTTCGATCGCGTTTCTTCCTCTCACCGCGCCGGCTCTCGCTCCCCCGTAAAGCCCCGAGTTTCTAGTTTCTGAAACGGTATCGCTTTGCGTCGCATCGTTTCGCGAACCCGGAAAAAACCGGAAAAATCGGAAAGTAGCGCGTAATCGAGGAATTTAAAAAAATCCAAACTTTCGAACGAAAAGGGGTAGAGAAAAAAAAGAAAGACGCTATCTTTGAGTTCGATGTCCGGGCTTTCTCATGCAAAAATCGTCAGGTTCGTAGCTCCTTTATCTTCGGAAGAGATCGATGTTGAACGTCGAACAACACGGAAATCTACCGTTTTTTTTCGACTTTACCGGCCGTTTTCGATCGCGTTTCTTCCTCTGACCGCGCCTGCTCTTGCTGCCCTGTAAAGCTTCGAGTTTCTAGTTTCCGAAACGGTATCGCTTTGCGTCGTAACGTTTCGCGAACCCGGAAAAAAACCGAAAAAATCGGAAAGTAGCGCGTAATCGAGGAATTTAAAAAAATCGAAAATTTCGAACGAAAAGGGATTGAGAAAAAAAAGAAAGACGCTATCTTTGAGCTCGGCGTCCGGGCTTTCTCATGCAAAGATCGCCAGGTTCGTAGCTCCGTTATCTTCGGAGGACATCGATGTTGAACGTCGAACAGCGCGGAAATCTACCGTTTTTTTTTCGACTTTACCGGCCGTTTTCGATCGCGTTTCTTCCTCTCACCGTGCCGGCTCTCGCTCCCTCGTAAATCCCCGAGTTTCTAGTTTCTGAAACGGTATCACTTTGCGTCGCAACGTTTCGCGAACCCGGAAAAAAACGGAATAATCGGAAAGTAGCGCGTAATCCAGGAATTAAAAAAAATCGAAACTTTCAAACGAAAATGTATCGAGAAAAAAAAGAAAGACGCTATCTTTGAGCTCGGCGTCCGGGCTTTCTCATGCAAAGATCGCCAGGTTCGTAGCTCCTTTATCTTCGGAGGAGATCGATGTTGAACGTCGAACAGCACGGAAATCTACCGTTTTTTTTCGAATTTACCGGCCGTTTTCGATCGCGTTTCTTCCTATCACCGCGCCGGCTCTCGCTCCCCCGTAAAACCCCGAGTTTCTAGTTTCCGAAACGGTATCGCTTTGCGTCGCATCGTTTCGCGAACCCGGAAAAAAACGGAATAATCGGAAAGTAGCGCGTAATCCAGGAATTAAAAAAAATCGAAACTTTCAAACGAAAATGTATCGAGAAAAAAAAGAAAGACGCTATCTTTGAGCTCGGCGTCCGGGCTTTCTCATGCAAAGATCGCCAGGTTCATAGCTCCTTTATCTTCGGAGGAGATCGATGTTGAACGTCGAACAGCACGGAAATCTACCGTTTTTTTTTCGACTTTACCGGCCGTTTTCGATCGCGTTTCTTCCTCTCACCGCGCCGGCTCTCGCTCCCTCGTAAATCCCCGAGTTTCTAGTTTCTGAAACGGTATCACTTTGCGTCGCAACGTTTCGCGAACCCGGAAAAAAACGGAATAATCGGAAAGTAGCGCGTAATCCAGGAATTAAAAAAAATCGAAACTTTCAAACGAAAATGTATCGAGAAAAAAAAGAAAGACGCTATCTTTGAGCTCGGCGTCCGGGCTTTCTCATGCAAAGATCGCCAGGTTCATAGCTCCTTTATCTTCGGAGGAGATCGATGTTGAACGTCGAACAGCACGGAAATCTACCGTTTTTTTTTCGACTTTACCGGCCGTTTTCGATCGCGTTTCTTCCTCTCACCGCGCCGGCTCTCGCTCCCTCGTAAATCCCCGAGTTTCTAGTTTCTGAAACGGTATCACTTTGCGTCGCAACGTTTCGCGAACCCGGAAAAAAACGGAATAATCGGAAAGTAGCGCGTAATCCAGGAATTAAAAAAAATCGAAACTTTCAAACGAAAATGTATCGAGAAAAAAAAGAAAGACGCTATCTTTGAGCTCGGCGTCCGGGCTTTCTCATGCAAAGATCGCCAGGTTCGTAGCTCC